TTATCAGCAATCAAAGCCAGGCTCCAAAGTTATTGTGAAACTGCCTATTCTAGAGGTGGCGTAAATCAAATGTGGATACTAAAAAATTCCAAAGATCTTTTAGAGTACATACAATCTAAGACTCTCTCATCTTGCAAAAGTATTAAAACATTTGACTTTTCTACACTTTACACAAGTATTCCCCATTCCAAAATAAAAGAAAAATTGAAAGAGTTGGTATTTCTTTGTTTCATTAAAAAGAATGGCGAACGTAGATACAAGTATCTTGTCTTGGGGAGGGATAAACATACTTTGTAAAGAATCACTCTGATTCAAACAAAAATTTCTCTGAAACTGACATTATCAAGATGCTTGATTTCTTGATTGACAACATATTTGTTACGTTTGGAGGATGTGTTTTTCAACAGACTGTCGGAATTCCAATGGGAACCAATTGTGCCCCTCTTCTTTCCGACTTGTTTCTTTATCATTATGAGGCTGAATTTATACAGGAACTTCTTAGGAAGAATTATAAGAAGTTAACAATATCCTTTAACTTTACGTTCCGCTATATAGATGATGTTCTCTCACTAAATAATACAAAATTTGGTGACTATGTTGAACGAATCTATCCCATCGAACTAGAGATAAAGGATACTACAGATACAGTTAAGTCTGCCTCATATCTTGACTTACATCTAGAAATTGACAATGAGGGTCGGTTGAAAACAAACCTTTACGACAAAAGAGATGATTTCAGCTTCCCAATTGTGAACTTTCCATTTCTATGTAGCATCATTCCAGCAGCGCCTGTATACGGAGTATATATCTCCCAATTGGTACGATATTCCCGGGCTTGTATTTCCTATCATGATTTCCTTGATAGAGGATTGCTGCTCACAAGGAAGCTATTAAACCAAGAGTTCTAAATGGTGAAGTTGAAATCATCCCTTCGTAAATTTTACGGACGCCATCACGAGTTGGTTGACCGTTATGGAATAACCGTTTCACAGATGATATCGGATATGTTCCTTATGTCGTAACTACAATACCCTTCCTTTTTCACGAATGTGACCTACCGAATTAGACTATTTACCGGATTTGTAATAACATAAGCAACACGACGGGTGCCACATGTGGAGCAAGATCTGCTTACCCTTCCGGAGCACCTGAGATCACCCCCAGTTTTTGGTGGGGTTCCTGTTGCTTAGTCTTTAGTTTTCTATGTTGTGTCATCTGTACTATTATTTGTCTGTTTGTCTTTTTATTTTTGGCCATGGCGTTGTCAGTTTGTTTTCGATCTATGAATTTGACTGTCCCTCTGGTATCTTTCGTCCCTCTTTTTTAAAGCCAAGGATGTATAAGAACCGAAACAGTCGAATATCTGTAATACCAAAAAGGACGTAAAAAAACAGCCAAATCCTTCTTAGGCCACTTTTGCCTGAAGGATTTGAAACCTTAGTTCTTTATAATGTTTTTTACTGTGTCAAAGGAGTAGGTTCACGAGGGGTTAAAATTGGCCCTAAGATTTAGTTTTTTTTTATCAGGCCATAATACTACAAATTTCACATAGAAATAGTTATGATTTTACTATTGATACAAAATAACTTCATTTTAACACATCATATTAAAAATGACGAAGTATTGACTCTTTAAGTATGCATTATTTGAGTTGTAACGTCAGTTATGGTCAAATTTTCAATAATTCTTAAGTTTTTAGGATAATCTATTTTGGCCGCCACTCAAGATCCAGAAAATGTTTGTGTCTAGGGATTCAATATCATCATTGGCAACTCTTGGTTACAGAACCTTTTGGATCCTAGGTTGCGGTCAAGGGTTTTCTCAAGCTTTTAGGTTAAAAAATTGCACAAAATCATCGTATTTTGACAATATATCCAAAATGTGCTGATTTTGAAGCCACAAATGTACTCTTGTGAAGAGATTTATTTTAACAAAGAAGTAAGGCTTTTGAAATAGATCCATTTGAGAAGCAAATTATGGCCATTTTGAAATGTTATGATAAAGTTGAAATTCAAGGCCATATTTGGCCTAAAGTGAACATTATTATTATAGTTTGACGTAAATTTTACATTGAGGTTCTGAAAAAGGAAATCACCAATTCACCAACATTCCAACTGACTTCATTTTCAGAAAACGATGTCTGTAACAAACATAAACTATTAGCTACTTCTTTACAAGCAGAACCAAATACAATGAAAGTCCCAACTATGTACTGGCTTCCGAAGCTACACAAATCACCTTACAAATATAGATTTATTTCGTCTTCAAGTCATTGTTCCACTACTAAATTGTCTATTCTACTTACTAGTACACTTGGTACAATCAAAAACCTGATAATAAATTGTTCAAATAATGTCTTTGAAAATAGTGGAATTAACTACTTTTGGAGTGTCAATAACTCGTTGGAAGTACTTGATAAATTGCATGCATATATTGGTGATTTTGAATCGATTTTTCTACCCTATATACCACTTTGCCTCATATTCTTATTAAGAAAAAATTCACACACCTAATTAAATGGGCATTTAAAAAGTCGGAATGCGAATACATATGTTCAAACTCTTTTAGGTCATTTTTTAGTAGCAACAAACAAAAGAACTATGTCAATTTGACATGCTTTGATACTATATCTGCCCTTGAATTTTTACTTGATAACATTTTTGTTCGCTTTGGAGATTCCGTATATCGTCAAGTTATCGGAATTCCAATGGGGACTAACTGTGCACCACTTATTGCGGACCTGTTTTTGTATTGTTATGAGTTACAATTTATGACTAAAATCAGCAAAGACCCATCGAAACAACATCTGATACAAAATTTAACAATACTTTTAGATAATTGGATGATATATTGGCTCTCAATAATGACGACTTCAGTATATATACTAAAGACATTCATCCTGTTGAACTTACTTTAAATAAAGCTAATACTAACAATGACCACTGTCCTTTCCTCGATCTTGATATCTATATCATTAACGGGAAGCTTAATACAAAAATTTATGATAAAAGAGATGATTTTTCATTTCCTATCGTTAATTATCCATTTTTAGATGGTGACGTTCCCTTGTCACCATCTTATGGTGTTTATATATCTCAACTTGTACGATTCGCTCGTGTATGTAACAACGTATTAGATTTTAGCGAGAGAAATTTATGTATTACTGAAAAATCATTACACACGGATTTTCGATATCATAAACTAGTCAAAACATTTACTAAATTTTATTATCGGTATAAGGACATCATCCGTAAATATAACTCAACATGCAGATATCTTATACGTTCGGGTATTTCACATCCAATCTTTTATAGTAATATTCTTTACAAAGCACAAAAATGTCAGTATTCACTTTAAAAGCTAACAAAACCTTTAAACAGACTTATTAAGAAGGGATGTAGTTACGATACTGTTGTCAGGTCATTAAAGATTGCATATTTTGGCTTTAATATTAATTCACTTGTAGGGTCTTTGCATCGGAATTAAACACATTTATTCTAAAACCAGTTGTTGGCATGACACGGGTTATGTTCTTCTCATATATTTTATGACGGTATAATACTAAACCCATAACAGGAGGGATTGTGCCTGATATTCATATGATGAAGACACAATCTTTTAATCAGTTTAATTGAGATCTGGAGCTGGCATGTCAGTAACTGCTAGTAGTATGTTGTTATTTATGTATTATTGTCATTTTGTTTATTTTCTTTTGTTTCCTATTTTGACATCGGACTCGGACTTCTCTTATACTGAGTTTTACTGTACGAACGGTTGTGCGTTTGTTTTTTCTACATGGGCTAGAGGTATAGGGGGAGGATTGAGATCTCAAAAAACATGTTTAACCCCGCGCATTTTTGTGCCTGTCCCAAGTCAGGAGCCTCTGGCCTTTGTTAGTCTTGTATCATTTTTAATTTTAGTTTCCTGTGTATAATTTGGAGTTTAGTATGACGTCCATTATTACTGAACTAGTATACATATTTGTTTAGGGGCCAGCTGAAGGACGCCTTCGGGTGCGGGAGTTTCTCGCTGAATTGAAGACCCATTGGTGGCGTTCGGCTGTTGTCTGCTCTATGGTCGGGTTGTTGTCTCTTTGACACATTCCCATTTCCATTCTCAATTTTATTGTCTAAGGCAGTGATATTTGAGGCCAACATACTAAAAAGTCCAAAGCCCGATAAGATGTTGAAGTGCTGATATAACCCAAACGGCGAAAAGTATAGCCAAACACATAAAAGAGATCATTACTGGTTACATTTTTTTTGATCACCTTATTTGTTGAATAACATGAATACACTGACAAAAGCATAAATTGTGTAGCTCTGAAAATGCATACCTTCACCGATATGTGATTGTTGTAATAATAGTGCATATCAATTGCGTGTCAACTAATAACATATGTAGCTTTCGATTTGTTACTTTTTCTTTGAATCGAACCAAAACCTACAATTTAAAAGGCTTTTGAATTGTCTTAAAATATTTTCCCGTTGATAATGTATCTAACAAGGGTTTGAGTGACGTTAATGCATATTTACATATGACAACTGTAACTATTGTCTACAAGAGCACATGATATGTTTCAATTTTTACCACAATCCTGTTCTTTTTTCCTTGATTGATATATCACCGAACTAGTACTTACCATTAGAAATAAGACGGTACAACATGATATTCTTACTCATCTGGAGTAAATGAGATCATCAGCAGATTTTTGTGGAATGCGGGTTGCGCAGTCTTATGTTTTTTCATGTAGTGTTTTATGGACATGTTTGTTTTTTGTGATGGCCTTGTCAATCTCTCCAACCTATCATTGAAATGAACCCCTGATATCTTCAGTCCCTTTTTTTTTATCTTTATACTCATGCTATTTTAATGTGAAAGGCAAAAGTTATCTGAACAGTGCTAATTGATAAGGCTATGAATAAGGTTTATTATAAAACTGTACTACTACCTAATTAAACAAGACTTAAAACATTTGATATAAACTGAGATACTTACTTTCAGATAGGACAGCCAGGTAGCTCACATATTTCACCTTGAATGCCACGGCCAGTGCATGATCTACCTCCGTTAGCTGCTTCTGGGTTAGAACATGTTCTATCTCTAAATCGGTTACCATCTGAACCGCAGCTTATAGAGCATTTGGACCATAACGACCATTCTGCCCAGTTACCATTTACTGGAATATGGTAGAAGATATAGTAGAAAGCTCTTACCGCCAAAAAAAAAAAGAACGTTACGTACTCTTCTGATCAAAACAACATATAACCAAATGTTCCATTTAACATTTCTTCTTTATACCTTCTCATATTTCATTTTGTTAAAGTTTAAATAAAAATTACATAATTCATTTATAAATTTTCCACATCTTTTTATGCAGAAAGATAACAAATACTAAAAAAATATATATGTGTCTGTTTAGGAGTATTTGGGGGGTGGGGGGTAGACGACAAGTGTCAAGCTCAAATTGCATAAATCCTAGAAAAGTACATGTCTTTATGTATAAAATGTATTTATTATATCATGATCTATCCATCTACAAAAAAGTTTTTGTTATAGATGTTTGTTCAGATCTTGGACTAATACAATTTTCTTTTAGTCCCAGTTCAGATTAGCAGTAGAATGACTTTATAAGAAAGCAACACAATTACAAGGTGAAATATGTTACAGCAAATATTTACCTTTGGTTTATATTAACTATTAAGTATTAAATATATATATTATAAACAAAGCATTTTAAAGAAAATTTCTATTAAGGATATTCGCTACTCTGTTTCAAAATAACAAGCTTTTTAAAAGACTGCTATAAATTGATAGTATATAAATAGAGAAACTAAAAAGCAGAAAAAAATTAAGGGTCCGTGTGCTTGTTTTCGAGATATAAGTCATTGCAAATTTGGCGGGAAATAATTATCTCTAGATTTTTCATACACTTAACATTGGCACCTTTTTTTCTTTCAAAAATGATGAAAAAATAAAGATTTGTAAGATTTTCAAAGATGGCACTTTAAACTATATGTAATCAAATACTGGAATGATTTTTGAACATGGGAATTACGAAAGTATCTGTTTAGGAGTTTCTAGCTACGCTTGTTACATCATGTACATAGGTATATTGCTTTACTTAATTTTATAACTTAAATGAATTTTTCTTTTGTAAGGTACTATTCAGTCGATGTTGTTTCTATATCATGTATGTCAATGTCGTTCATTATTAATTGGTATTTTCCCCTTTAGGAGAAACTTGAAATAATCCAAATACTGGAATGACTTAATCGTTACAAACATTCCTTAAACATATAATTAACTTAACATTCATTTTAACTCATTTAGGGATTTTAGGTTTGAAATGTCAAATCCATAACTAAATTTTTTTGTAGCGTGCTTCATACCAAGAATGGCAATATAGTCAATAGTTTTTTAGTGTTAATTTTAGTTTGACGCATGGATCAAATGATTGGGTTTTTTTTCTGAATTGAACTTCTGTTCAGTTTGTTTTAAGCATTGCACAAGTTCGTGTTTTGTTGTACCTTTATAATGTTATAAAAGTAAATCTACAATAGAATACAAGCACAAATACTAGACTGTATGAAGACATGAATTCAAATTAGGTTATGTATTTTGAGCTCGTAATCAGTAATTTCGACCATCCCTTGATGCCATATATAAAATATTGTTTCTAATTGCTTTATTCGTAAACAATTTGTTACTTTTGAAGCAAGTGCTTCTCTCGACTGATTTATTGTATGATTGCTTTCTCCGTTTTGGTTTATCAAACATAATTCATATGGTTCGGGTTGAGACAGTTAACTACTAAACACGTCAAATATTCAAGTGATTGTTCAAGATCATTAAGCCACGACAATGGTTGTCTTATGTAATATTGAATTAAGTTTTTCTTAAGTATTTATCTTCTCCCGACTGGGGTCGAAATCACATAATCGAGTTGATCACTCTAGGTGCGCGTTTCGACAATTACTGTATCTTCATTGAGGCTTGGGGCCACAAATATAAACATCAAAGCGCCGATTATAGACGAAGTGCTAATATCACATTAACGGACGAAAAAATGACAAGGAATCATTACTGGTTGGAATACTTTTATTACCCTAAATGTTGGAGTACAGGAATGCATGGACAACTTAATATTTTTTGGTTATGTTAGCACCTGCATTCAACAGGAAATTGTGGAACACTTGCATTCAGGTATGCATACCTTTATCAATGTGTAGTTGAGCTTAATAATAGTGAGCAACATTGTTGTACGTCAGTTAAAATATATACATCTTTCAAATTTGTAACTTTGAGTTACAGACCCCTGACCTAGGACAGGCACATAAATAAAGTGGTGGGTGCAACATGTGTGAACACTAAACCCCTCTAACCTTGGACAGGGGTATAACAGCACAACGAATCAGTTGCAAAAAGGCTTAACTCAATAGATCGCTATGAAGCTACAAAAACAACTAACATAAAAATAATAGATACAACGTACCGATCTCAGAGTACTTACAGTTATTAGAAGCTAGTTCAAAGCCAATTACAACTAATATGTAAATCATGTTCTCTTAGACTTAAGTGATATACAGTACACATCGAACGAATTTAGTATATAAATGCCATAAAGAGTCTGAAAAACGCATAACGTTGTACATTAATAAAATATATTTAAACAGTAGCGATCGGATGTAGTACAATGAGTACTCAAAACTGTATATATAAACCAATATATATTTCTTTACGTTTAAATTTTTCATATAACCAAGTGCACAGGTTCTATATAAAAGGAAAGCTATACTTCAATGTCAAAATCAAAAGTTATCTGAATAGTGCCTAAGCTTTGACATAATGACGACTTTTTGAACGAGACTGAAAATATTTTATGAAAATTGAAATACTAACTTGGACAATCATTTAGTATACATAGTTCTTCGTCTGAGTCAGAGCCACTACAATCCTGTCCGTTGTTAGCTGGTGCTGGGTTATCACATGTTCTCTTCCTAATTCGTTCACCACCTTCACCACAGGTTAAGGAGCATATGGACCATAACGACCATTCTGTCCAGTTACCATTTACTGAAATATGGTAGAAGGTTATAGTAGCAAACTCTTATCGCTCAAAAAGAACGTTACGTACGCTTCTGTTTAAGACAAATTTTTGTCCAGTTGTTCCATTAAATATTTCTTCTTTATAACCAACCTTCTTATATTTCATTATGGTAAAGTTTTAATAAAATTACATAAATTTATCAATAAATTTTCCGGACCTATTTATACGGAAAAGAACTGTGTCTGTTAAGAAGTTCAAAAAGTTTAAATAAATAAAAATAATAGGATTTTGAATTTTCCGTACTATTTCCTACGTAAAAAAAGGTAAAGTTAAGAAAATTAATATGTATCTGTTTAGGAGTTTCTAGCTGCGCTTGCTACATAGGTATATTGCTTTACTTCATTTAAAAACGTACTGGACTGATTTTATTGTATGATTTTTTTCCTCCTTTTAGTTTATAAACATAATTCATATGGTTCTGGTTGAGATCTCAAGATACTTGTTAACTACTTTGAACCACGTCAACGGTTGTCCTATGTAATATAAAAACAAAATCAATACAAAATTTTTAAATATTTACTTTTTCTCGGCTTCGGTCGAATTCACATCATCGAGTCGATCACCCTATGGGCGCGTTTCAACAACTATTGTATCCTCATTGACTCATGGGGCAACAAATATGAAAATCCAATCCCCGATTACATGAAGAAGTCATGGAAGTGCTGATATCGCATTAAAGGACGAAATGATGATAAGAATCATTACTGGTTGGAATACTTTTATTACCCTATATGTTGGAGTACAGGAATGCATGGACAACTTAATATTTGTTGGTTATGTTAGCACCTGCATTCAACAGGAAATTGTGGAACACTTGCATTCAGGTATGCATACCTTTATCAATGTGTAGTTGAGCTAAATTATAGTGAGCAACATTGTTGTACGTCAGCTAAAAACATATACATCTTTCAAATTTGTAACTTTGAGTTACAGACCCCTGACCTGGGATAGGCACATAAATAAAGTGGCGGGTGCAACATGTGTGTGAACACTAAACCCCTCTAACCTTGGACAGTGGTATAACAGAACAACTAATAAGTTGCATAAAGTCTTAACTCAATAGATCGCTATGAAGCTACAAAAACAACTAACATAAAAATAATAGATACAAAGTACCGATCTTATAGTACTTGCAGTTATTAGAAGCTACTTCAAAGCCAATTACAACTAATATGTAAATCATGTTCTCTCAGACTTAAGTGATATACAGTACACATCGAACGAATTTAGTATATAAATGTCATTTAGAGTCTGAAAAACGCATAACGTTGTACATTAATAAAATATATTTAAACAGTAGCGATCGGATGTAGTACAATGAGTACTCAAAACTGTATATATAAACCAATATATATTTCTTTGCCTTTAAATTTTTCATATAACCAAGAGCACAGGTTCTGTATAAAAGGAAAGCAATACTTCAATGTCAAAATCAAAAGTTATCTGAATAGTGCCTAAGTTTTGCATCTTTGACATAATGACTACCTTTTTGAACAAGACTGAAAATATTTTATGAAAATTGAAATACTAACTTGGACACTCATTTAGTATACATAGTTCTTCGTCTGAGTCAGAGCCACTACAATCCCGTCCGTTGTTAGCTGGTGCTGGGTTATCACATGTTCTCTTCCTAATTCGTTCACCACCTTGACCACAGGTTAAGGAGCATTTGGACCATAACGACCATTCTGCCCAATTACCATTTACTGAAATATGGTAGAAGGTTATAGAAGCAAACTCTTATCGTTCAAAAAGAACGTTACGTACGCTTGTGTTTAAGATAAATTTTTGTCCAGTTGTTCCATTAAACATTTCTTCTTTATAACCAACCTTCTTATATTTCATTTTGTTAAAGTTTCAATAAAATTACATGAATTTATTAATAAATTTTCCGGACCTATTTATACGGAAAAGAACTGTGTCTGTGAAAAAGTTCAAAAACTTTAAATAAATAAAAATAATAGGATTTTGAATTTTCCGTACTATTTCCTACGTAAAAAAAGGTAAAGTTAAGAAAATTAATATGTATCTGTTTAGGAGTTTCTAGCTGCGCTTGCTACATAGGTATATTGCTTTACTTCATTTAAGAACGTACTGGACTGATTTTATTGTATGATTTTTTTTTCTCCTTTTAGTTTATAAAACATAGTTCATATGGTTCTGGTTGAGATCTCAAGATACTTGTTAACTACTTTGAACCACGTCAACGGTTGTCCTATGTAATATCAAAAAAAATAAATCAATACAAAATTTATAAATATTTGCTTTTTCTCGGCTGGGGTCGAATTCACATCATCGAGTCGATCACCCTAGGTGCGCGTTTCAACCAACTACTGCGCAGGTATGTTAATGCTGTTCTAGAGTAAATCGGCTATTTATTCATAAAAAAATCATAAAAATTTGAAATTATTTTGAATTTTAGTCTAGAAACTTTCATACCCAAAACTAATTTTGATCATCCCTTACATCATCCAAACTTTTGATATCTGATGTCTTAGCACCCCCTACCTCGTTTGGTTGACAAAGATGTTATCTTTCCTGTAACAGCTGTTTCTTTCTTTAAATATGCCCTTTTCTAATAAAAAATAACAGAAGTGACATACAATCCAACCATGCCCACACCAAAAGTCAACTTTCTTGTCAATTTTGAAAATGTTGTATTCATTTTAAAAGCAAGAAACAGCAATCTTGGTATTCATAAGCTTTCCAAAAATAAAAATGTCAAGTTTTAAAGAGATCAATGAATATTAACGGGGTGTGCCAATGCGATCTTTATAAATTAATGAGACCCAAGTCCTTTCGCGGCGACATTTAAACACTGTAATGATTCAGATCGATTATTCCCCTTTATGGTATCAAAGTGCCGGGAAAAAAATAAACGACATTTTGATAGTTTTTGACTAGAAATGGACACATTAAAGATGTAAAACAATGTTATTTTTTTCATTTTTATACTTGAAGGTGTTCATGAATCTTGAAAGAATCACGGTGCATACGAAGGTCATGAGGAAAAAAAGGGGAGATACTCAAACGTTATACTTTGAAATAGCTTTCGTAACCCCATGTTCATTTCTAACTCCACATATGTGTTGATTGTAAATAAAATTAACTTGGTTACTTTCTTAACTTCGCTTCTCATAGGGGTTTTACGACTTTAAGATATGACCAAGGATTAGTATAGTAAGATAACGAGATAACGAACGACAAAAAAATCTTTCTAAAACAAAATGATTCTCCTGATCAGAAAAAAAAACACTTTTAACCAGAACTAGTGCATGGAAGTATGAAGCCCCTTCTATCAAACTCATGTTTCATGAGAAATATTAATGTACTCAGACCTGATAAAGGTTTTTTTTTTCAATGATTATATTTTTTTTAAAACAATTTTAAATAGTTCACTGAACATTTATAGTATGGGAAACCGTCACATGACATGTGTAAATGGATCATTTTTTTTAAACATTATCGGTTTTAAGCTAGAATTTCTAGAGATATGTTTATTTGTTGAACATGCATCATTCATTCATAATGCAGTCTCTTGCATAGTAAATTAATAAATTTAAAATCCGGTCCATGCATTGGTCTAGAATTAAAACCAGAAAAATATATAATACTACGCAGGTTATGTACATGGTGTAGGTAAATACAGATTGAACTTATTTTCTATCATTATAGAAAAAAAACATAAAATAAGAGAAGAAGCTATTTGTTTATTAAATAAAGTTATATGCATGTGAAAGCCATTACTTCTTCAAGAGTTCATTATGAGACCAGAGTATTATTTGACTATTAAATACATAATGTCTATATCAAAAGTTTCATAAAAACTTATGATAATTTCTCATTCATTTCAAATAGTTTTCTCAAACTTAATACCAAAAGCATTGTATATGTCATATTAAACTGAAAGTCCTTATCATAATGTATACAATACATCTTGTGCCATGTGGTTTTCCATGATCCATAATAAATGTAGACATATATCATCCTGCTGATTTTCATATGTTAATGTTGTACTGGAAAATTTTTATTGAATTCCTAAACTTGTCTTTTTTTTCACATGTAGCATGCAAAGAATATTCCTATATACATGTAAAATATTGTGAATTACAATATATATACCAGTAAGTACATGCAGTTACCAGCCTGCCAAATATGATGTTTGAATTATAATTCTCACTCATTTCACAGTTTTATGTATATATCCAACATTATCTCAATAACTGCCATATGATGTTGAATAATGATATGAACATTTCCTTTTATGTGTTGATCTTACAGGAAAGAAGTGCACAGTCATTTCCTCTGGTGTAATACTTTTATTTCTTTGTCTTCAATGTTTCAGAGTCAGTTTTAACAGTCATGTACTTCTTCCTTTTGTTGTCACACTGAAAAATTGCTTCATTCCAAAAGTCACATGTGACATGGCATGGGGTTATTTCATATTCAGCACTTGTGATAGTTTTGTTATAAGTCCTCTAGCTTTTATCTTTAAAACATTCATTTCACTTTCTTTAATGCATAGATCTAAAACTATTCCCATATATGGTTATAAATTGTCTGACAATTTCCTTGTGTGTGTTGATCTTCAAAAGAAACAAGTGGTTACTCTTTTTCTTTGATTACTTTTTCCAATTTCAGTTAGTAAATACTTGTATAACACCATTGCCTCCAAGTCATCTGAATACATATACTGAAAAAAAATTATATAAACATTTAGTTGCATTTTAAAGTTATTGGTATTGAATGTTATGATACAAAAAGAAAACTTCAGTCAAAATGCTGTGTTCCTAAATTATTATATAATTAAAAGTAAACTTGACAAAAAAATCTACATTGATTTAAAATGAACTTTTAATTTATGAATTTTCTGTAAAAGTACAATAAAGTTTTTAAGTACAACAGTGAACTTACTTCAACTGATATTTACCCATTAATTTGTTATAATTAATTAATATGACTTACTCAATATTGAGTGGGTGTGACTCAATACAACAGACAACTTATATATACACATAACCTGAGGGGCTGCATGGTGTTTACAGAATAGATACTAATCCTTATGGGCAAAAAGTGCAGAATAAAGGGCTAAAAAATTAAAGAATAAAAAATGACCAATAATAAAAGAGAATAATGGGGTGTTTAAATACAAAGAATAAAGAATAATGGGCAAAATAGATAAAGAAATAAGGAAATTGTATAAAAAAAGAAATAAAGAACTGAAGGACCCCCAACAAGACTCATACATTATAATATTAATACTTACATTGTATAGACCTCATATTTGATATTATAGAAACTACACTCTTCAGGCATTGACATGACAATGTAATGTGTGCATGGTACAAATAAATCTGCAAAAGAAGTAACAATAATTACTGAAAGGTTTCAAACTAAATTTTATACACACCAGATTGTAAATAAACATAATTAAGATTGATGTGAATTGTTTTGAAACATGATTGTCAAAATTTGAAAATATCTACACAAAGAAACATAGACTTCAGATTTACTTTTTTATTGTGAATCAATATTACAAATACACATTTTATTTATGATCTAATGACTATAAACATAAGAAAAATGAACAAATTGATAAAGTTTAAATGTACACTAAAAGGGATGATTTAAAATAATAGTATGATGACTATCAGATTTAAAACCATAAATGAAAAGTTGTTTATCAATTATGGCCATGATAATAAATAATAGTTCTCCCATATCATAAATCTCATGTGCCTGCCTAAACAATTTTATTAAATGCAGGCAAGCCATAGGCATTAGCATGAATGCATGCACAGTGACATGTATGCATATATTTTTCTAATGTTTTGTGGGGTTTTGTTATATATTATAAATTGGAATCAACACCTAAAAAAGAAATGATTTTGCATGTGCAATCAGGGCAATTTGAAGATTCATGTTAAAATATACCTAATAGATCTTTAATAAAATGTTTAGGTGTTTGCCTCCAACATAAAATTCGAATCATATGACATGCATACGTCGAGACAAATTAAAGGGAGAGGGGAGAATTAAGGGGAAAGCTGGCGGGCATGGTGTTCGGACTTTTTAACAAATTCCAATCCTTACGTTGCATCGTAGCTGACCATTAAGAGCCCATATTTGAAAATATTAGACCCGCATCTGTGCATGGCAGGTCAGTCTGCAAAATGTCCGACATAAAGTAATTTAGTCGATGGTCAATGAAGATATGATTGTTTATATAAGATAGTAAAATAGTGTTAACTTGCATAAATCATTCACAGGAAGTTTGTCCTATACTGTATACAGATCGCACTCGTCATGTTGACAGCGAAACGTGTAACGAATACCCCCAGTTTTAAGTAAACAATGCGTATTTCTCAATCGTGGATGTAATGAATATCGATGATCCTCGGCAGTAGAAAGCTAAAATATTTTAAAACAAACTTACCTCAAAATATAAGCAACACACTTCTACATTAACGTGTTTTTGTTGGACTGACGACACTGACGTCTATCATAACAAGATGCCCGATCAGCTGTTCGTAGCAAGCTCAAAATTGACGCCGACGAAACGTTCTAGCCAATGTGTCGAATAGTTTAGATAACGACGTCAGATTTAGATTACGATGCAAACACAAAAATCATTGCCTATTTTTTTTAAACTGCATTAACCTTCCTGCGTGTATCCTCATTGACTCATGGGGCCACAAATATGAAAATCCATTCCCCGATTACATGAAGAGGTCATGGATGTGCTGATATCGCATTAAAGGACGAAATGATGATAAGGAATCATTACTGGTTGGGATTCTTTTATTACCCTATATGTTGGAGTACAGGAATGCATGGATAACTTAATATTTTTTGGTTATGTAAGCACCTGCATTCAACAGGAAATTGTGGAACACTTGCATTCAGGTATGCATACCTTTATCAATGTGTAGTTGAAGCTTAGTAATAGTGAGCAATATTGTTGTACGTCAGCTAAAAACATATACATCTTTCAAATTTGTAACTTTGAGTTACAGACCCCTGACCTGGGATAGGCACATAAATAATGTGGCGGGTGCAACATGTGTGTAAATGCTAAACCCGTCTAACCTTGGACAGTGGTATAACAGCACAACAAATCAGTTGCAAAAAGGCTTAACTCAATAGATCGCTATGAAGCTACAAAAACAACTAACATAAAAATAAAAGATACAAAGTACCGATCTTAGAGTACTTGCAGTTATTAGAAGCTAGTTCAAAGCCAATTACAACTAATATGTAAATCATGTTCTCTCAGACTTAAGTGATATACAGTACACATCGAACGAATTTAGTATATAAATGTCATAAATAGTCTGAAAAACGCATAACGTTATGCATTTATAAAATATATGTAAACAGTAGCGATCGGATGTAGTACAATGAATACTCAAACTGTATATATAAACCAATATATATTTCTTTACCTTTAAATTTTTCATATAACCAAGAGCAGATGTTCTATATAAAAGGAAACCAATACTTCAATGTCAAAATCAAAAGTTATCTGAATAGTGCCCAAGTTTTGCATCTTTGACATAATGACTACCTTTTTGAACAAGACTGAAAATATTTTATGAAAATTGAAATACTAACTTGGACAATCATTTAGTATACATAGTTCTTCGTCTGAGTCAGAGCCACTACAATCCCGTCCGTTGTTAGCTGGTGCTGGGTTATCACATGTTCTCTTCCTTATTCGTCCACCACCTTGACCACAGGTTAAGGAGCATTTGGACCATAACGACCATTCTGTCCAGTTACCATTTACTGAAATATGGTAGAAGATATAGTAGCAAACTCTTATCGCTCAAAAAGAACGTTACGTACGCTTGTGTTTAAGACAAATTTTTGTCCAGTTGTTCCATTAAATATTTCTTCTTTATAACCAACCTTCTTATATTTCATTATGTTAAAGTTTTAATAAAATTACATGAATTTATTAATAAATTTTCCGGACCTATTTATACGGAAAAGAACCGTGTCAGTTAAGAAGTTCAAAAAGTTTAAATAAATAAAAATAATAGGATTTTGAATTTTCCGTACTATTTCCTTCGGAAAAATAGTTAAAGTTAAGAAAATTAATATGTATCTGTTTAGGAGTTTCTAGCTACGCTTGCTACATAGGTACATTTTGTATATTGCTTTACTTCATTTAAAAACGTACTGGACTGATTTTTATTGTATGACTTTTTTTCCACTTTTAGTTTATTAAACATAATTCATATGGTTCTGGTTGAGATCTCAAGATACTTGTTAACTACTTTGAACCACGTCAACAGTTATCCTATGTAATATCAAAAAAAAAATCAATACAAAATTTTTAAATATTTGCTTTTTCTCGGCTGGGGTCGAATTCACATTATCGAGTCGATTACCCTAGGTGCGCGTTTCAACAACTACTGTATCCTCATTGACTCATGGGGCCACAAATATGAAAATCCAATCCCCGATTACATGAAGAGGTCATGGATGTGCTGATATCGCATTATAGGACGAAATGATGATAAGGAATCATTACTGGTTGGGATTCTTTTATTACCCTATATGTTGGAGTACAGGAATGCATGGATAACTTAATATTTTTTGGTTATGTTAGCACCTGCATTCAACAGGAAAATGTGGAACACTTGCATTCAGGTATGCATACCTTTATCAATGTGTAGTTGAAGCTTAATAATAGTGAGCAACATTGTTGTACGTCAGATAAAAACATATACATCTTTCAAATTTGTAACTTTGAGTTACAGAGACCTGACCTGGGATAGGCACATAAATAAAGTGGCGGGTGCAACATGTGTGTAAACACTAAACCCCTCTAACCTTGGACAGTGGTATAACAGCACAAGGAATCAGTTGCAAAAAGGCTTAACTCAATAGATCGCTATGAAGCTACAAATACAACTAACATATAAATAATAGATACAAAGTACCGATCTAAGAGTACTTGCAGTTATAAGTAGCTAGTTCAAAGCCAATTACAACTAATATGTAAATCATGTTCTCTCAGACTTAAGTGATATACAGTACACATCGAACGAATTTAGTATATAAATGTCATAAAGAGTCTGAAAAACGCATAACATTGTACATTAATAAAATATATTTAAACAGTAGCGATCGGATGTAGTACAATGAGTACTCAAAACTGTATATATTAACCAATACATATTTCTTTGCGTTTAAATTTTTCATATAACCAAGAGCACAGGTTCTATATAAAAGAAAAGCAATACTTCAATGTCAAAATCAAAAGTTATCTGAATAGTGCCTAAGTTTTGCATCTTTGACATAATGACTACCTTTTTGAACAAGACTGAAAATATTTTATGAAAATTAAAATACTAACTTGGACAATCATTTAGTATACATAGTTCTTCGTCTGAGTCAGAGCCACTACAATCCCGTCCGTTGTTAGCTGGTGCTGGGTTATCACATGTTCTCTTCCTAATTCGTTCACCACCTTGACCACAGGTTAAGGAGCATTTGGACCATAACGACCATTCTGCCCAGTTACCATTTACTGAAATATGGTAGAAGATATAGTAGCAAACTCTTATCGCTCAAAAAGAACGTTACGTACGCTTCTGTTTAAGACAAATTTTTGTCCAGTTGTTCCATTAAACATTTCTTCTTTATAACCAACCTTCTTATATTTCATTTTGTTAAAGTTTCAATAAAATTACATGAATTTATTAATAAATTTTCCGGACCTATTTATACGGAAAAGAACTGTGTCTGTGAAAAAGTTCAAAAACGTTAAATAAATAAAAATAATAGGATTTTGAATTTTCTGTACTATTTCCTACGGAAAAATAGTTAAAGTTAAGAAAATTAATATGTATCTGTTTAGGAGTTTCTAGCTGCGCTTGCTACATAGGTATATTGCTTTACTTCATTTCAGAACGTACTGGACTGACTTTATTGTATGATTTTTTTTCCTCCTTTTAGTTTATTAAACATAATTAATATGGTTCTGGTTGAGATCTCAAGATACTTGTTAACTACTTTGAACCACGTCAACGGTTGTCCTATGTAATATCAAAAAAAAATCAATACAAAATTTTTTAATATCTGCTTTTTCTCGGCTGGGGTCGAATTCACATCATCGAGTCGATCACCCTAGGTGCGCGTTTCAACAACTACTGTATCCTCATTGACTCATGGGGCCACAAATATGGAAATCAAATCCCCGATTACATGAAGAGGTCATGGATGTGCTGATATCGCATTATAGGACGAAATGATGATAAAGAATCACTACTGGTTGGGATTCTTTTATTTCCCTATATGTTGGAGTACAGGAATATTTTTTGGTTATGTAGGCACCTGCATTCATCAGGAAATTGTGGAACACTTGCATTCAGGTATGCATACCTTTATCAATGTGTAGTTGAAGCTTAGTAATAGTGAGCAACATTGTTGTACGTCAGCTAAAAACATATACATCTTTCAAATTTGTAACTTTGAGTTACTGACCCCTGACCTGGGATAGGCACATAGATAATGTGGCGGGTGCAACATGTGTGTAAATGCTAAACCCGTCTAACCTTGGGCAGTGGTATAACAGCACAACAAATCAGTTGCAAAAAGGCTTAACTCAATAGATCGCTATGAAGCTACAAAAACAACTAACATAAAAATAATAGATACAAAGTACCGATCTTAGAGTACTTGCAGTTATTAGAAGCTAGTTCAAAGCCAATTAAAACTAATATGTAAATCATGTTCTCTCAGACTTAAGTGATATACAGTACACATCGAACGAATTTAGTATATAAATGTCATAAAGAGTCTGAAAAACGCATAACGTTGTACATTAATAAAATATATTTAAACAGTAGCGATCGGATGTAGTACAATGAGTACTCAAAACTGTATATATAAACCAATATATATTTCTTTGCGTTTAAATTTTTCATATAACCAAGAGCACAGGTTCAATATAAAAGGAAAGCAATACTTCAATGTCAAAATCAAAAGTTATCTGAATAGTGCCCAAGTTTTGCATCTTTGACATAATGACTATCTTTTTGAACAAGACTGAAAATATTTTATGAAAATTGAAATACTAACTTGGACAATCATTAAGTATACATAGTTCTTCGTCTGAGTCAGAGCCACTACAATCCCGTCCGTTGTTAGCTGGTGCTGGGTTATCACATGTTCTCTTCCTAATTCGTCCACCACCTTGACCACAGGTTAAGGGGCATTTGGACCATAACGACCATTCTGCCCAGTTACCATTTACTGAAATATGGTAGAAGATATAGTAACAAACTCTTATCGCTCAAAAAGAACGTTACGTACGCTTCTGTTTAAGACAAATTTTTGTCCAGTTGTTCTATTAAATATTTCTTCTTTATAACCAACCTTCTTATATTTCATTATGTTAAAGTTTTAATAAAATTACATGAATTTATTAATACATTTTCCGGAACTATTTATACGAAAAGAACTGTGTCTGTTAAGAAGTTCAAAAAGTTTAAATAAATAAAAATAATAGGATTTTGAATTTTCCGTACTATTTCCTACGGAAAAATAGTTAAAGTTAAGAAAATTAATATGTATCTGTTTAGGAGTTTCTAGCTACGCTTGCTACATAGGTATATTGCTTTACTTCATTTAAGAACGTACTGGACTGATTTTATTGTATGATTTTTTTTTCTCCTTTTAGTTTATTAAACATAATTAATATGGTCCTGGTTGAGATCTCAAGATACTTGTTAACTACTTTGAACCACGTCAACGGTTGTCCTATGTAATATCAAAAAAAAAATCAATACAAAATTTTTAAATATTTACTTTTTCTCGGCTGGGGTCGAATTCACATCATCGAGTCGATCACCCTAGGTGCGCGTTTCAACAACTAATGTATCCTCATTGACTCATGGGGCCACAAATATGAAAATCCAATCGCCGATTACATGAAGAGGTCATGGATGTGCTGATATCGCATTAACGGACGAAATGATAATAAGGAATCATTACTGGTTGGAATACTTTTATTACCCTATATGTTGGAGTACAGGAATGCATGGACAACTTAATATTTTTTGGTTATGTTAGCACCTGCATTCAACAGGAAATTGTGAAACACTTGCATTCAGGTATGCATACCTTTATCAATGTGTAGTTGAGCTTAATTATAGTGAGCAACATTGTTGTACGTCAGCTAAAAATATATATATCTTTCAAATTTGTAACTTTGAGTTACAGACCCCTGACCTAGGACAGGCACATAAATAAAGTGGTGGGTGCAACATGTGTGAACGCTAAACCTCTCTAACTTTGGACAGTGGTATAACAGCACAACGAATCAGTTGCAAAAAGGCTCAACTCAATAGATCGCTATGAAGCTACAAAAACAACTAACATAAAAATAATAGATACAAAGTACCGATCTTAGAGTACTTGCAGTTATTAGAAGCTAGTTCAAAGCCAATTACAACAAATATGTAAATCATGTTCTCTCAGACTTAAGTGATATACAGTACACATCGAACGAATTTAGTATATAAATGACATAAGTAGTCTGAAAAACGCATAACGTTGTACATTAATAAAACATATTTAAACAGTAGCGATCGGATGTAGTACAATGAGTACTCAAAACTGTATATATTAACCAATATATATTTCTTTGCGTTTAAATTTCATATAACCAAGAGCACAGGTTCTATATAAAAGAAAACCAATACTTCAATGTCAAAATCAAAAGTTATCTGAATAGTGCCTAAGTTTTGCATCTTTGACATAATGACTACCTTTTTGAACAAGACTGAAAATATTTTATGAAAATTGAAATACTAACTTTGACAATTATTTAGTATACATAGTTCTTCGTCTGAGTCAGATCCACTACAATCCCGTCCGTTATTAGCTGGTGCTGGGTTATCACATGTTCTCTTCCTAATTCGTTCACCACCTTGACCACAGGTTAAGGAGCATTTGGACCATAACGACCATTCTGCCCAGTTACCATTTACTGAAATATGGTAGAAGGTTATAGTAGCAAACTCTTATCGCTCAAAAAGAACGTTACGTACGCTTCTGTTTAAGAAAAAATTTTGTCAAGTTGTACCATTAAACATTTCTTCTTTATAAACAAACTTCTTATATTTCATTTTGTTAAAGTTTCAATAAAATTACATGAATTTATTAATAAATTTTCCGGACCTATTTATACGGAAAAGAACTGTGTCTGTTAAGAAGTTCAAAAAGTTTAAATAAATAAAAATAATAGGATTTTGAATTTTCCGTACTATTTCCTATGGAAAAATAGTTAAAGTTAAGAAAATTAATATGTCTGTTTAGGAGTTTCAAGCTACGCTTGCTACATAAGTATATTGCTTTACTTCATTTAAGAACGTACTGGACTGATTTAATTGTATGATTTTTTTTCTCCTTTTGGTTTATTAAATATAATTCATATGGTTCGGGTTGAGATCTCAAGATACTTGTTAACTACTTTGAACCACGTCAACGGTTGTCCTATTTAATAAAAAAAAAAAAAAAAAATCATACAAAATTTTTAGATATTTACTTTTTCTCGGCTGGGGTCTAATTCACATCATCGAAGCGATGACCCTAGATGCGCGTTTCAACAATTACTATATCCTCATTGACTCATGGGGCCACAAATATGAAAATCCAATCTCTATTACACAAAGAAGTGGCTGATATCACATTAAAGGACGAATGGACGACAAGGAATCATTTCTGGTTGGAATTATTTTATTACCCTATATGTTGAAGTATAGGAATACATGGACAACGAAATATATGTGTTTATATTACCACCTGCATTCAACAGGACATTGTGTAACCCTTGCATTTTTGTATGCATACCTTAAACACTATGTAGTTGAGCTAAATAATAATGCGTAAAATTGTTGTACGTCAGCTAATAACACATGCAGCTTTCGAATTTGTGACTTTTTCTGTGCATTCGAGCCACATCGTACAATATATGTTTTTTTACTTTTATGAAATCACATTTCCCGTTTACCATTTAGTTGAGCATGGTTTTATACAAATTTACCTATAAAGAATCAATTGTCTACAAGAGAAGAACATTTCGAAAAACATTATTAGTATATATATTAATTTTTATCCAACCCAATCATAGCTTTGAACGTTGTTTTCAATTTAGACTTGTTTATTTATATTAATACTAGAACACATCCGCGAAATCGCGGGTATTTAGAGCTTGGTTGAAAGTATGTAAACTGTTGTAGGATGAATTTTTGTAAAAGATTTTATGTCTGGAGAATTCCAGAAAAGGTATCAAACTGAGTCATAGGCACTTGGAGACAGGACAATTAATTTAAGCCCTCTCCCTTTTTCCAAAGTCCGTTATCTTTCTTTTTGCTCTGTGTTAAATTCCATGATTTTCGCGTTTCTGTATACTATGAACATACGTATAATGTAAATAAAGTGTATTTGCTATTAACTATCAATTCCAGGTTTCTTCTCCACGGCGATCACTGCTATATTATATAGAGAGTCTCTCTATATATTATAGGATTATAATCATAGTATACATGCAGAATAACACGAAAATAATTGTCGTCCCCCAGTAATTATGAAAATTATGTTGAAAGAGGGGAGAAAAAGGGGGGTAACTGCACGGAAGAACGCGAAATACAATTGCCATTTCACGATGAGCGAACAATTAAAAATTTCTTGCACGTTGATCTATTTATCGGTTTCAAGAAACATGGTGAATAACAAACCTTTTCACGGCTGCACGTGAAATTAAAAGTGGCAAAACACGTTGCACGAAAATAACCCTTTACCCCCTCTTTTAAAGTTTAAAATCGGAAGTATTTGGTATGACTTAAAAGTCGGTCTGATGACAGAAACAATATCCGGACGCCTTTTTCTTCGTTTTTCTCCCAAAATAACCCGAAATGAATGATCATAAGAATGGATGACAAATGCGACTATGCATGGTACCTATAGGACACAGAGGCATGATGATTAATTAATTGGGGAAGGAAGAGAAGCGACACACAAAATGAGGTCTTCTCGTTTAATAGTATAGATATTGTATCAAAAGGCAAATATGAACTTAGATTGATTTGACTATTTTTCTAGGTGATTTTTTATCATAAAACTGGTCAATGCTGTTCAGTTTATTCAAGAAATTGTGCATTTCACATTTTTGTTGTTGTTTATGAAATCTACTATTAAGTTGAGCCACACATATAAGAGTGTTGGAAGGTATAATTTCAAATTAGGTTAAGTTTTTTTAGCTTGGTTGCAGTAACTGCGATCATTCTGTGGTTCTATATAGCATTTTAAAAAAAAAAGTTCGTTATTTTAGAGGCAAATTATTTTTATTGTACCTTTAAGTTCACCTAACAGAGTCAAATTGGGTTCTTGTTAAGATCTCAAAACACTAGTTTACTGATAATCTACCTGGGTTCAAATGACGTGGATATAAGCAAAAAAAGTCGTCGTACGGCTTTTAAAAATAGAAAAACCCATGCCGTATAGTCTGCTTAAAAATGGCCCCGATGTGAAAAATGTAAAATAATTTAAACAAGCAAACTATTTGCATTTATAATAACAAAACAATAAATGGAAATCAAATATGACAGATATGTATCAACGACTGACCTCTGACTAGGAATAGGAACATGGAGAATGAGGCAGGGTTAACATGTTTGTGAGCGCTCATCCCTAGCCCTACCCTAAAACAGTGGAATACCAGAACAACAAAAGAACAATCTATAAACCTACTTTTTTTTAAATAAACCATTGCCAACAATATAAAAGAAAACATTTTTTTTTCAATGTCAAAAGCAAATTTTATTTCAAGAGGGCTCAAGATTATGTACACGGTTGGCATATTTGACAGTATGACTTCCTATTTAAACAAGACTGAAAACATTTCATATAAATTAGATACTTACTTGGACAAGGAATTGGTGCACATGTTCTACTTTCTGAGTCAGATCCCTTACAATCGGATCCGTTGTTACCTGGAGCTGGGTTATCACACGCTCTAATTTTTACTTGTCTACCACCACCACAGGTTACAGGGCAAGGTGACCAGTCCCTCCAATTTCCCCAGTTGCCTGCTACTACAATACATGATGAGAAGATAAGGTCGAATACTCTTATAACTGAAAATCGAGGTTGCCCACTCTTCTGTTATAGACAGCATTCTACTTATTGTTCCATTTGAAATTTTTTTTTATAACCTACTTATATTTCATTTTGTTAAAGTTGAAATTAAATAACATGATTTTACTAATACATTTTCAGTACTGATTTTTACGGAAAAATAACAAATACTAAAAAAATATATTTGTGTCTGTAAAGGAGTTCTCTAACTACGCTTGACACATTGGTGACTTTACTTTTTATTTTGTTTGTCAGATACCATTCAGTCGAGGATGATTCTATAAGAGAGGTCAATGATACCAAAGAGATATTCACACTTGGGAATCGAAAACGAACTGACAATGCCATGGCAAAAAACGAAAAACTACAAAAAGACAAGCAACAGTATAGAAAACACAACTAAGAAAACTTAAGACTTATCAACAAGAACCCCGTCAAAAACCAGGGGTGATCTCAGGTCTCCGAAAGGGCAATCAGACCCTGCTTCACAAGAGGCATCCTTTGTGTTGGTCATGTAATTACAAAACCGGTAAGAAGACTAAGTCCCGTTTTATAAGGTTGATGTCACATGCAAGATTCAAATTGTTGTCTTGTTTTTTCTGCATTGATATTGTTCAGCTTGTTCATGGAATTCTATATATCCTCAATTTAATGATGCTGTGTAGGAAATCTACTATGAAGTTGGGTTACACATATAAGAGTGTAGAAAGGTATAATTTCAAATTAGGTTAAGTACTTTTAGCTTGGTTGTAGTAACTGCGAGCATTGTTTGATTCTATATACAATGCCATGGAAAAAAGAACGAAAAAAAGACAAAAAGAGAAACAAAAGTATACAAAACACAATTAAGAAAACTAGAGATTGAGTAACACGAACCCAACCAAACACTGGAGTGATCTCAGGTGCTCCGAACGGTCAATCAGATCCTGCTCCAAATGTGACATCCTTCGTATTGGTCATGTATGTACAAACCCGGTGATAATACTAATTTCCGTTCTATAAGGTTAAATTAGTCGACTGTTAGAGTATATAAATACGAGATATCATTAAATGTGCATCTTTTCATGTTATAATAATTTCAAAAAAGCGTTGGGTATTTATTGGAAAGTGTTTTTCTTTTTGGGATTAACATCAATTTGCCATTTTTTAGTTTGAAGCAATATTCAAATGTATGGTTTGCCTATTCTGCATTGAAATGCTGTTCTGTTTGTTCCGGGAATTGCTCAAAATTGTGTATTTTGGCATTTTTATGACGTTGTCAAGGAAATGTTTTATGAAGTTGAGCCACAGATATATAAGTGTAGGAAATAAACGCATCTTAAATTCCTTGATTAAAATTTGTTCGACAGACGCGCGTTTCGTCTAAAAAAGTTTCACCAGTGACGCCCGAATAAAAAAAAAGACAAAACAGAGTACGAAATTGAAGAAAATACGAGCATTCTTTGATGCTATATATTAATATATGTATAATTACTCTAAATATCAGCACAACAATGTTAAATCTGCAAATTCAGGAAGCAAATTTTTGTTCTTCTATCGCCGGGATTGCTATATATATATATAAATATATATATATATATATATATATATATATATATATATATATATATATATATATATATACAACTAAGTCTAAATTGAAAACATATGATTGCGTTGGATAAAAATCGCAATTTTTATACGTGTGCATGCAAAACAAATTTCTTGGTAGAGCGGTCTAAATACAGCATAAACAACATTGTTTATTTTTTTTTTGTTCGTACTAAATTCGTTATTTAAGAAGTAAGTGCTTTTCTGGACTGATTTTATTGTATGACTTATTATGTACATTTATGTTCAATCATCAGATTTACACTGGGATTGGGTTGATATCTAAACATATTAGTTGACTAATAAGCATGCAATTAGCTTTCAATTAAGTTTAACAGGGCCTAATATTATAACAAGGAGATGCTGTAATATTGGAAAATGAGACAATCCTCAACCAGAGTTGAAATGATGAGTATAAGAGCATTTATAGGTTTTTCAACAAATGAGAAAAACACACACCACCAATAAAAACTGACCGCCATGAAATAGCACACTAGTGTTGAAAGTGGCGTTAAACACCAATCAATCAAACAATATAACAATACACTATACGAAAATCAAATATGACAGATATGATTGATTCAAGGTCAACCGCTGAATTACAGGCTCCTGGTTTGGGACAGGCACATACAGAATGTATCAGAGTGAAACATGTTTATGAGCGTTCAACCCTCTTCCTAACCTGGCTCATTGGTATTTCATCAAAACAAAAGAATAAACTATAAAAATATGTTGCGAATGACTTAACTCAATGAATCGGAACGAAGCACATAAACTAATATATAACTAAAAAACAAAAAGACACAAAGCACCAGTTTGAGAGTAATCGCAGTTACTGAACGCTAGTTCAACGCCAATTACGACTAATAAGTAAATCAGGTTCTCCTAGACTTAAATATAAATCCATCTTCGTACCTATGATGATTTTATTCCGTACACATCCAACGGATTTAGTGTGAAGACATCATAAACAGTCTAAGAAACGTACAACCTTGTACAATGCCAAAATATAAGTAGGCAGTATCGATTGAGTGGAGGATCATGAGAACACATAACAGTACATATAGAAATTTAGTTATAGTCATGATAGTTTATTTTTTCCAATAAAAAGATCAATATTAGTACCGATTAAAAACAATATTTACAGATTTTACATGATGTTAAAAAAAAACTTTGAAAATAAGTTTAATCAAATAATTAATAAAATTACATGGATCGTATTTATATTAACGGACTCTCTAAACAAAACATCAACGTAAAATGTAGGATGTGATATCCCATTTTGAATAAATATTCTACAGCCAAACGGTCAACCAAATCTTAGTATCTATGAACGAATTTAGGTATAGTTTGTACAAATTTACATATGAACAATGTAACAGTTTTAAAACTACAAGAACGCAGGTTATTGTATATAGAATACATAAATTAGTTTCAATGTCAAAAGCTAAAGTTACCTAAAAAGTGCTAACATTATGAGCAAGCTTTGCTCATTGACATAATGACTTACTTCTTGAACAAGTTTGAAAACATTTGATATGAATTGGGATGCTTACTTGGACAAGCAGTTACTGTACATGGTCTGCTTTCTGATCTAGAGCCTAAACAGTCTGGTCTGAATTTAGCTCGTGCTGGGTTATGACATGTTCTTCGTCTTTCCTGGCTACCACTACCACAGGTTACAGAGCAAGGAGTCCAGCACGTCCATTTGGAGCAGCTACCATTTACTGAAATATATGGTGAGAAGATATAGTTGCATATTTTATTTGCTTAAAAAAAACAAAAAAAAAACAAAAACAATGAGCTTATGCAACAACTAATACAGATTTCTGGGATTTTTACAATTAAAAAGAGAATTCTTCCAATTATGCAAAACAGAATTATCTGCTGCAGCATGTTCAGATACAAATCAGCAGCATCTCATTATCGATTTTTGAAAGCAAATCAATTTAAAAAAAATTTTGCAGGTTATAAAGCAATTGTGGCTCTCTTATTATATTTTTGAGAAACCAAAAATAGTATTGTTTTTTTCCATTTCGCTTTTTATTCGCACAAGCATAAATCCAGAACTTCCACTCAACCATTTGAATATTAAGATAAACTGTTGCGATAATCTTTGATACAAAACACTACATTACAGCTATATTTTAATCTGTTTGTTTATTATTTTGATTTTGTTTTGCTCAAATTGTTTTCCGAGTATAACAAGTACAACTGAATGCTTAACTACCAAAAAAATATAAAATCAATTTCTTTGAATAGGATAAACTCTATTATTTTGTCTCTCCTTACATTAAATGGGACACCGAAGGTTTTATAGAGGGCAACACATCTGTTCCATAACAAACACACATTTTTAAGTAGGTAGTCCTCCCTGCTACATTGCAGAACTTGCCTTACCTATTGTATTAATTTTTCGTTTTGAAAATGCATAAATATTTAGCCCTTGACGTTAAACATTCAACAATCAATCAATCAATCAATCAATCAAACAAACCGATACCCGCTTAACTTTTATGAGAATTTTCCATATATGATTGCATTTGCACTTCTATTAATCATTATGATTTCAACATTTTTGGATGTAATCAATTGCAAAAGTTAGCTTGTAAGAATTATTGAAGTAAACCTTAAAAAAATTAACGTCCAGCTCGTTGTCAAAGCATAAAACAGGAATCTTTCAAAATGACAGAATACATTGTTTTGAATGTATTTACTTCTGTTTTTGTTACACCAATTAAGGGCCCTGAACGGCAAAACTGAAGCTTGGTTATTATAAACTTGATCTTATTTTTGTCATCAGTAAGAAAATATTAAAAATTTATAAAGCAATGGTCGAAAGGTTCTCAACTTACTGCACGTAAATGAATTAAAATGGCAGTTTCAATCAATTAATTTTCATAACTCCTGAACCGCAAACGTAAAAATCGTCAATATTGAACTTAAACCAATTTTATCACTAATAACAATAAGTTGTGATATAAAAACCATAGGTTAATCGGTTTTTCTAGCTATTTCATGGAAACATTACACAGCGCCATTTTTGAATCAATCAACGACCATTATTTCTGAACAACAAATCTGGAAATTTTCAATATCGAACTTGACCTAAATTTTGTCACCAGTAGCAACATATGAAGAACTGATAAGCATTGGTAAAACGATTTCTCAAGTTATTTTTACGGAAACACCATATAGTGCCATTTTCCAATCTATCAAAGATCGTAAATCCTAAACGGAATACTGAAAATTGTCAATACCGAACTAGATCTCAATTTTTTCATCAGTAAATGAAAATGAACAGCACATGTTAACATCGTAAATATAAACTTGACCTACATTTTTTCATCAGTAACAACATATCAAATACAAAAACAATGGCAAAACTGTTTACAAGTTATTCCTCGGAACAAAATGTGCTATTTTGGAGTCAATCAAGGACCATAACTTTTTTTGAAATGGTGAAACAGAAACTATATTAAATTTCGAATATGTTCATTTTGTAATCTGTTACAACCTATTAAAATGTCAAAGGTATTTGTTGAACGCTTCATACTTTCATACCTATATTATCGGTTTTTCATCCTTGGCTTTAAAATTTTTGGCTTTGAGCGTTCCTGAGTTATTGCATGGAAATGGCTTCAATGCTATTATCAAATAAATCAAGGACCAACACTACTGATCAGCAAAAGTGAAGATCATAAATATTGAACGTGGCCTTAATTTTGTCATGAGTTACATCATATAAAAATTGGAAAAAAACATTGGTTGAACGGTTCATAAATAATTTCACGGAAACAGCTAAATCTGCTTACCCGATACCACCGTACAACCTTAAATCAGTAACCGGATTTCGGTTGGAAAAACCGGTCAAAACTGATGATTATTGTTTTCATATATTGTTAATATCCTAAGTTTTAATGTCTTTCATTTCCTAGTCATCTTGTAACAAATTAAATTCTAAATATGACGTTTTGTATTTCGTTACTGTCTAAATCATCAATATTCATTGTAAGTTTATCCTTAAAATCTAATAATGAAATATGAATGAATTATGTTTTGAATTCCAATTTTTAACTATTAGATATCTTCTCTGCCCATCAAACTCAACAGAAGTATACATCTTAGTGTCATTTATTAAGCAGACATTGGAACTGAGGACAAGGGGGCTCTTAATATATATTATATTTGAATCTACTGTCATGCTTTGATATCTTCTACAGATACGTTTTCTTTTGTTTTTGAATTTGGTTTATTCATGTTTTTGTGTATTATGTCAAATCATTTACGATTCATATATTAACTCACCATCGATACCCATTGAAATTTAATACGCCATACGCGCGTTTCGTCTACAAAAGACTCACCAGTGACGCTCGAATAAAAAATGTTTAATGGCCAAATAAAGTACGAAGTTGAAGAGCATTGACGATCCAAAATTCCTAAACGTTTTGCCAAATACAGCTAAGGTATATGACAAAACATATATTAAAGTATTTGATTCTATTTTATTAAAGCAAAATAATGCAATTTTATCTTACTATCACATTATGCACCCAGGAATCCGTTTAAAAGTACGCCCCTTAAAAAAACATATAACGGATGTAAAAAGGATATTGCCAATACAATCTGTTTTTGAAATATAATCCATATGTAACGTAATAAATGGAAATTATTTTTTTTTAAATCTAATTGCTTTTGATACAATTAAAGGTCTTTCCACCTTCAAATTTACACTTATTGATAAGTTAGGTTAAAATTAACTTGAATAAAGAAAAAAAAAATGATTTTCTTAAAATTAATAGTAACTTGCAGTCAAAAAAGTAACTTGATACATTAGGAAAAAAAAATAGTTTACACTTGTTACAAATAAATATAAGTTATTGAATATGTCTAATAAATTAGCGAAATAATCAGCTACTTGCCCTCAAATTAAATAATGGCTAACTTCCCATTGATTCAAAATACAAGGTTTCTATATATTTATCTCGAATAAGGGGGATAATTTGCTACGTTTGGTTTTAAAAGTTATTTCCGATGTCCTATGATATCTTTCATTTGACCTATTCCAAAAATATATTGTTGTTATGAACTTTTGCTCCTTCAGCTTTACACAATGTCAATTTCGGTGATCAACTAGTACGGGGGTTTTTAACGATCTTGAATATCGACGAGAGTCTCGTGCGGTTGAATTGAAAGGATAGGCTATTTCAAGTTGATTCGAAAAAGTATATGTTTCTACTAGATATTGTTGCATGACATTAGTGCAAAAATGGCTATATTTGGTTTACACCAGATCACTTCTGGTTAATTCTAATCAAGGTCATATGCTGTACCTTATATAGAAAACACTACAGCATTTTTATTTACTATACCAGTATAAAGATATATCTATTTCTTTTCTTTTTTAATATTTTATTTAACGGTATTTATAATTGAACATCTCTGGAAAATCCAAACAATACCTTTTAAGGTCATTTTCAGTCTTCCAGTCAATTTTCAGACATCAACTGCAGTTAATTTCAGTATTATTCAGACAATTGCTCGCATTCAATAAAGATCTATGTTAAGACTGTTCAGCAGTTGTTATATACCTATAAACATCAGCATCCTACTGAATTGTCTAAAACATTTACTGAACAGTACTGAAATGTCTGAAAAGTTACTGAACAGTACTGAATTGACTGCAAGCAAACTGGGTGAACAGTACTGAAGTGCAGTGAATAAGTCTGAAATTAACTGATAGACTCAGCATGACTGAATAATAAATTTTTCAGACTTTTTACAGACGATGTTTAGATCCAAATGAAAAAAAATAATTTACTGGTGACAGTATGCATAAAGCTATGTCTCATTTCAATAAATCATGGAGAGCGGAGTGCACGTGCTTCATGTCACAATAGAATA